GTGCTACAAGTCCTCTTCACTTTCAGCAAACAATGTTGTGTGATCTGCATATGACAGGTTGTTAATGAGTCTTCCTCCAATCCTGATGCCACATTCTTCTTCATATAGTCTAGCTTCTCAGATTATTTGCTCAGCATACAGATTGAGTAAGTATGGTGAAAGGATGCAACTCTGACACACTCCTTTCCTGATTTTAAACCATGCAGTATCTCCTTGTTCCATTCAAATGACATCCTCCTGGTCTATGTACAGGTTTCTTGAGATCACAATTAAGTGTTCTGGAATTCTCATTCTTCTCAGTGTTACCCATAATTTGTTATGAGCTACACAGTCAAATGCTTTTGCATACTCAATAAAACTCAAGTGAACATCTCTCTGGTATTCTTTGCTTTCAGTTGAGATCCATCTGACATCAGCAATCAGAGGATGTTCCACATCCTCTTCTGAATCCAGCTGGCATTTCTGGAAGTTCTCTGTCAATATACTTCTGCAATCATTTTTGAAATATCTTCAGCAAGATTTTACTTGCATGTGATGTTAATGATATTGTTCGATAATTTCCACATTCTATGGGATCATCTTTTTTTGGAATGGGTACAGATATGAATCTCTTCCAGTCAGTTAGCCAGGTAGCTGTCTTCCAAATTTCTTGGCATAGACAAGTGAGTGCCTCCAGTGGGGCATCTGTTTGTTGAAACATCTCTGTAGATATTCTGTCAATTCCTGGAGCCTTGTTCTTAGCCAATTCCTTCAGTGCAGCTTTGACTTCTTCCTTCCATACCGTTGGTTCTTGATCATAATGCCGCCTTTTTATATGGATGAACAGCGACCAGTTCTTTTTGGTATAGTGACTCTGTGTATTCCTCCTTCTAGCTTCTTTTTTTTGTTGTTGTTGTTTATTTTTATCTTTTTTCTGATTTATCCCTTTCCAAAAAAGTATTCAGGTATTTGCCTTCAGTCTCCCTAATTCTCTCTTCCATTGATTCAGTTCTGTTCCTTTGCCCATTCAATGTCTTATCTATTTCTTAAAATTTAGTATTAATCTTCTGGATTTCTGTGTGTAGAT